TTCAATATATTTCTGACCAGAGAATTTTGCTCCACTTTGGAAAAGAGTTATCAGATGTTACAAAAGGAGGTTGTAATTATAGGAAATTTCAAATCCTGCTAAAGTGTGAGAGTTTTAAATCTCTTTCCTATACCTGAAAATAATATTTGTTTGTATAGTAAGTTTGTATACAAAAACTTACCAAAATGATGTAAAGGGAACAAAATCATAGAAGTAAATTAAAATTAAATAAAGTAAACAAGAAAATATCAATCTGTGAGGTGTGTAACAATGAATCTTCACTGTGTTTGAGCATGGAAAACTCACAATTCAATCATAGCAGGGACTGCTCAGCTACTATGTCTTTAAGAGAAGAATCAACAGAAGATACAGAGTCCCTTCCACACCAACTTCATCACTCTGATGGGGATTATTGGTTCCCTTGTGACCCCTGTTGTTCATAAGCTCCTCTGCATGTAAGTTTATCATGGCTTAAACAGAAGTTTCTCTGTCTGGCTTCAACAGAAACGTATCTCTGCAACTTCAGTGCTCTCAGAACTTACCTTCAAGGAGAAATGGCTCTTGTTTACCTGGAGATGATAGAGTTGTGCTTATATTGTTATCAGTTATTCTTTCAAAGACATTCTCTCACACTTGGGGTAGTGGGATCCATCTCCATCAGTTCCCACTTGTAAAAGGTGACAACAGGAGAGAAATATGCCTTCACTGCTTTCATCAGGCTTTACCTGGGGCAGAGCCCCTGAAGTCTGAAGGATGACAATAAGTTTTATACTCAGATAAGCCCCCTTCCCCATGTGTCCATGTATGAATTCTAGAACTACTAAGATACAGGAATCACTGGAAAGAGGAGAAAACACTGTGATACTCACAGACCAGTTAACAACTGGATGTGATATATTTCACATCCAGAAGGAAGTAGAACTGAAGTAAATTTGGAATGCAAGTTAACCTGTTTCTCACACTGCATTTGAACCATTTACAGAAATGAGGGATGGAGAACATCTCTTTGACAAGGATCCTCATTGGTTGGAAGATATATATCTTTAGAAAGCTTTATCCCCCTGTCTACTGTTTCAAGTTCAAGATCTTATTCAAGAATAGCACACATGTTAAGTAAAGCTTTTCAGGAGCTGAATGTTTTCACAATGTAGGATGGACTTGAAAGTTGCTCCCTGGAATGAGAAAAGCAATTAGTACTACATAGAAATTTTTGTGTATGTGTGTTTAAATTTCTAAAGTATAGTTATACATAATAACATAAAAATACATGCCACAGAATGTGAGGCTGTTCATGTATGTTATACACTGACTTGAGAATCTCAAATGAGTTGTACCTAATATGGCAGGAGAAAAACAGCTGGAACCAATTGCATGGCTTCTCTTCTATCACTTGACAGAATATCTATGATATCCTGGGGGTAGTTCAACACCCTGAGAGCAACCTCTTATTCTAGAAGAACACTTATCCCTAAAAATCAGGCTGTTGGATTGACACTACTTAGCATTTCAGCTTTGGTTCTAGTTAGAATAATGTCAATACAGCTATACTTCTTAGTTCAGTATGGTGGTATGCTGATGGATATCAGAGATTGCAATGTACAGGAATGTTTGCTTCTTTAGCAGTATAGACTTATATACACATCTTCCTCTCACAACAAAATGTATTTACAAAATTATTGGACTCTCTTAGATTATGGAGAGATGGTTTTAGAGTCTTCTCGTAACTTAAACTCATTATTACAGTATGAGATGACCTGGTGCAATGCCTTTTAAACTGTATACTTTTTACCAGAACACACACACAACTTTTCCAGCATTCTACCATTCAACCTTAGGCCTTCTTCTCTTACTGGAACATGTTTTCATTGATCACAAATATCTGAATCTTCAATAAATGGTACTAGACTAAAGGGATGTCTACATGAAGAAGAATTAAAATAGATTCATATTTATCAGTGTGCACAAAATTCATATCCCAATGGATCAGTCTCAACATAAAACCTGATATACAGAATCTCATAGAAGAGAAAGTGGGAAATACCCATGAACATGTTAATACAGTTCCTGAAAGAGATAAGTTCCTGAAAGAATACCAATGGTTCAGGCTCTATGATCAATAATTGATTAGTGGGACCTCATGAAACTACAAAACTTTTGAAAGACAAAGAACGTTCTCAATAGGACAAATTCATTTGAATAAATGAGGGTTACTGATTTCTTTACTTAATTTTGTATCCAGCCACATTGTTGAGGCTGTTTATCAGCTGTAGGAGTTCACTGGTTGAATTTTTGTGGTCATTCATGTTTACTATCATATCTATCGTCTGCAAATAATGATATTTTGACTTCTTTTCCAATTTATTTTCCCCTTGATCTCCTTTAGTTGTCTTATTGCTCTAGCAAGAACTGCAAGTATCATGTTGTAGTGGGAGGTATTTAGAAAAGAGGCACTTGGCAAGCTCCTGGATTAGCCACCATACAAGTTTTTGCTGCAATGCTCAATAGTCCAGAGCTCCAGAATCTCACCACCCAGCTCTCTAACTTGCCACTGGTGGGTCACTACCACAACATTTCTGTGCTTCAAACCCTCATGGCCTCTGATGGGCACACCACACAAACCCAGGCTTTGCCACCATACCTTTCTCTCTCAAACTTGGTCCAGTCGCTGTGAGAAAAACACTACACAGAGTTTAGGAACAATGTTAACTCAATCTCTGGGTGCAACAACTAAAACATAATCTTGTAAGCCTCAGTAAATCTAATTCTCCTGTGGCCAGGAAGTTCTACCCCTACACCTTTTTTTTAAAAATTGGATATTTTATTTATTTACAATTTTGATGTTATCCCCTTTCCCCATCCCCTCCCCACCCCCATCCCCAGCCAGAAATACCTTATCCAGTCCCCCTTTTGTTACTTCTATGAAGGTGTGCTCCCAACCATTGACCCACTTCCTTCTTCCCACCCTTGAATTCCCCCACACTAGGGCATCCAGCCTTCATGAAACCAAGGACCTCCTCTCCCACCAATACCTGACAAGGCCCTCTTCCACTGCATATACAGCTGGAGCCATGGGTCCCTCCAAGTGTGTTCCCATCTACCACTACATCTTGCTCATGTACTCACCTCTGTCCAAAAGGACCCTCTCTCTCTTTCCTCCTCTTCCTCTCTTCCCCTATCCAGCTTAGAATTCCCTCCTACTCCCCCAGTGATTGACTCCTTTATTCATTAGGGGATTGGTTCACAAGAAGTCAACTTGAATGCATAACTCTTTCCTTGTCCGTAGCCCCTCCCAAAAGAGCAGAAATTAACATCAAAATGCAGGAAGCACAGAGCCATCTACAACACAATGTTGAATATATATAGAGAGTGGGCAGCCTTATTTTAATAGAAATGCTTTAAGTTCCTCTCCATTTAGTTTGGTGTTGGCTATTGGCTTGTTGTATATTGCCTTGATTATCTTTAGGTATGTATCCTGTATCCCTGATTTCTTTGGATACACAGGGTGGCCCCAACCTGGTCAGAGGAGAAGGGGACAGGAGAAGAGGAAAAGATTATTAGAGGATGTGACCAGGAAAAGGCAGTGATCAGAATAAAGTGAATAATTTTAAAAAGTAATAAAATTAAAATTAAGAAATAGAAAAAATAATAAGTTTTTCTAGAAGAAATTACCATATTATAAACACACACACATACAGAGAGAAAGACATACATACATACCATCATAAGTCACACAGACATATACACATAGACACATACAAACAGACAGACACACAGACAGACCAAAATACAGACACACACACACAGATTTAAGCCCAAATATTTTACTTACTTTTCACTACACCTGAGGCATTTTACATATGCCTCATCATCAAATCTTTTTTTAAGTTCTAGCCTCTGGTTATACTTTGAATAATTTAAACAGAGACATAAGATATGAAGTCTGGGAACTTGGGGATATGTGAGATTTACACTATAAAGACGTTATCACAATTCTCTATTAATCTTTTAGAATTATTGTTTTATTTTTATTGAAAATAGATTTTCATGAAATATATTCTGATTACTGATTTCTCTTTTCCAACACCTCCCTGATTTTTACCCACCTTGACTCCTTTCTTTATCTAATTAGAAAACAAACAGAACTTAAAAATAACTTAAAAAAAAAACAAAATAAAGAAAAACCAAACAGAATGGGATAGAACAAAATAAACAATGAGAAGAAAAATCACTAAAACAAAGTACAAGAAATACAGATAGACACAGAGATACACTAGTTCACAAATACTCTGTTGCACAAGGATGAGCTACAGGTACACAATGGTTTATGAGAGTTGATGCTATATTGGATTAGGTCCATGTTCTATAAAAACTAGTGACTATAGAGCTGATTACTGGGACTGGGAAGAAATAAAATGTTAGACCAGAGATTTGCATATGATAAAACAACCTACCCACCCCAATTAGCATGTACATACATTGATTTGATAAATTCTCTTAGATTCTAAGAGAATGGAACTTCTGCTGGAACACACAGCCAGAGTTAATAACACACCTGACTTCACTTAATACTTAAGACAAGGAAAGGTGTTTCTGTTTGCCTTCAGCTTGATGATTTGGATATTACAGGTCAAATTTCTACTATACTTTATTCCTGGCTATTCCAATAAAATCTTCCACCACTCAGCATTTAGATATATTTTTATCATGCATCATTATGGTTTTCCCTTTTTATAGTTTTATCGAAGAAGAAACACGTCAATGGAGGTAGGCACTGATGCAGATATGGACAGGGTACAGTGTACTGTTGGTTTATCCTGAATGAACATCATTTTATTCTAAGATGTCGTTTTACAGAGTTCACAAAGGCACTATAGGACTATGAGGAGGAGGCAGAAAAATGGATGCCCAAAACGATTATTCTTACACAAGTCTTCACATCAATCTTTTCTGTCGTCTTAGTCCCAGGGCAGCTTCCTGCCCCTTCAGGGTTTTTGACACACTCAGGATGTGGTTACAACACTGTGTCTTGTACAGTAATAGGTCGCAGAGTCCTCAGAGGTCAGACTGATGAGCTCCATGTAGGCTGTGCTGGAGGATTTGTCTGTAGTCAATGTGACCTTGCCCTTGAACTTCTCTTTGTATTCAGTATAACCACTTCTAGGATCAATAGATCCGATCCATTCCAGGACCTCCCCAAGCCTCTGCTTCACCCAGTGCATTCGATAGTCAGTGAATGTGTAGCCAGAAGCCTTACAGGACATCTTCAATGAAGCCCCAGGCCTGACCAGCTCAGCTTCAGATTGCTGCAGCTGACCCTGGGAGTGGACACCTGTGGAGAGAAAGGCAGGGTGGATGTTATTGTCACCTCAGTCCCTCTCTCTTCTTCAGATTTGGAAAACTGCAGGCCCCTTACCTGCAGTTACTGACAGGAGGAAGAGAAAGATGCAGCTCTCTTCCATGGTTAGAGTAGATGTGTTCAGGGACTGTGGAGAGGACACTTATATGATATTTGTTTGGTGGGTGTGGACATCCCTGTATTTCCAACCAGATGCAAGTAATTTGCATATTCATATGCAGGATACTCCTTAGATAAGGACCTAGATCAGTGGACAGGAAAGACTGAGAAGGTACAAAGGTCAGGCATTGGATTTCTCGGGTCCAAGGTGTAATTGTCTCTGAAGAAATGCATCTGATGCACTTCCCCTGAGTCGTGGATGCTGTGGGTATAACTTTGGGGACTAAGCTCTCAATAGATCACTGGTCTTAGACTGTTGCTCTCCTTTGAGACAATGTTATCAACTGATTTACAGATGGTGGTTGTGAGGATGATGGTAGTGATGGAAATTTAAAAAAAAACTGGCTAAGTTTTGAGAACTTAGAGCCTTCTTTCAGATACATGCAATTAATATTTGCTTTACCAATGGGTTATGTAGGGGGAGGAGCTAATAACAAAAATCTAGTTTCCCTACTTGTTTCTTGATTGGATCTCTGGGCAAAGGATAAGGTGGGATTTCCAAGCAGGACAGGAAGAGAAGTGGACAGAGAAAGGATGTGGAATTTGGACTAGGGGTTTGAGCCAATAGAAAGGACAGACATATAGGACCGATAGTTTGCAGTCTCTGATGGCAGCTATGGAGGCTAATGATGATGGGGCAGGGTATTTATTATTAGTATAACAGTTGTGTTATCTCGTGGTCTGAGGAATGTTATCAGCCTCTTCCTTTCTCTTCTGACCAAGAAATGTTAATCCAGCATGTGTCTTCTGACCAAGGAATGTTAATTAGCCTCTCCCTTCATGGGGGACAAATGTTACAAAGTTCCTCTTTAGTATGAGGTCTTTCTGAGGGAACATTTGATTATTCCAACTTGAAACCAATTGGTATCTACATAGCAGTCAGGCACTAGTAGGTACATCTTATATGAAGGCTGATGTTGTAGCCATCAAGGTCTGGAACTGTGTAAGGTTATCCATTTATTTTCCATTAACTGATAACTCAGTTAGTATAGTACTATCTATATACAGATAAATAGTGCCATCAGTAGTACATAGTTAACCCCCAGAATTTTACTTTGGCAAACAGTCATCAAATGCCAATAGAGCATCACTTTTGTGTGGCCCTTCAGGAATTCCTCCCCATCCATGTTGTAATTTTTAAAATTGTTATACTGTTGTTTATGGTGATAAAAAGTTGCACAAGTACAAAAGTGGATATATTATTTTATGCTACAAGGTAGGAGGGTTTTTTCACAAAAGTTGTAGCATAAAAGCATTGACTTAACCATATAATGAACTAGTGTAGCTAGAAAATAGATAAGTAATGTTTAGTCTGGTATTAATAACTCTTAATGGAAAGATGTAAAAAATTGACCCCATAGACTCCCAGTATCCTCTCTTGTCCCAGGCCTCCAGCTAGTCACCATAGTTTCCCCACCAAACCAATTTCTGTTCTCACATACTGCTCATCCCACAAACATCTCCCCCCACCTGATCACCATCTCTCTTCCCCTCCTCACCACCTATATTCCCCAGTTCCCTCTCTCCATCAACCTCCAATGACTATTTTGTTTCCACTTCTGAATGAGATCTGTACATCCTCCATTGGGAACTCCTTCTTATCACTTTCTTTGGCTCTGTGTATTATAGCACTGCTGTCTTGCACTTTATGGCTTATGTTCGCTTACAAGTACATATCATATATTTCTTTCTGGCTCTGGGTTACTTCACTCAGGATGATATTCTCACATTCCATCTTTGTTTTTAATGACAGAGTAGTATTCCATTGTGTAGATGGACCATGTGTTCTTTATCCTTTTTCAGTTGAGGACCATCGAGGCTGCCTTCAGTTATTTTTCTCTCCCTATAGACATCATATTATTTCCTGCACTATGAAACCCAGCCAATAAGGAGAATTTCCTGTTCCTGCAGAAACTCCAACTTCAGCCTGCCACACCTTAGACTGCATTCTTCCATCCCCTGAGAGGTATATTGGTGCTTCTCTAAAGTCTAGCCCCTGACAGCTGTGGCACAGGGTCAACACAGTCAAGCACTCTCCATGGTTTGCCTCCCCAGCTGCATGTTCGATTCCCCAATGGTAGGACAGAATGAGGACCCAAAGTTCACCATATCATTAACACATACTCAGGCTTTCATTGGGCCACTGCTTTAAGTTCTAAAAAGGCTGATTGCGTTATTGTACACTTATTGGTAAAGATGACAATTATTTGGATACCTGCTCAAATTAAAACTGATACTGCTCCTGCATATGTATCCAATAAAATGAAGCAATTATTTGTATATTATAATATAAATCATGCTATTTGTATACTACATAATTCCACAGGAAAGGAGCTACAAAAAGAGCCAAAGGAACCTTAAAAGTAAAGCTTATTAAACAAAAAGGTAGAGTAAATCCCCAAGGACAGATTAAATAATACTTTGTTAACTCTAAAGTTTCTCAATATTGATGAAAAAGGAACAGAAGTTGAGAGACACTGGATGATTGAAAAACTGAAGAAATAACAAATAAATACACTATATAAGAATGTGTTTACATTAGAATAAAAACCTATAATTGTTTTAAGATGAGGATGTGGTTATGTTTATATGTCTACAGGAAATGAGAAAATATGGTTATCAACAAACTTATAAAGATTGATCTGACCAGGAAAAAATTCTTACCAGCTGAGACATGAATTTCTTCACAAAACAAATAAGGTTGGGTGATTTGATTTCTCTAAAACATGCATGCATATCAACTTCAAAGGGCCAGCCCAAATGATCACTAACACAGAGACTGGCGAACATATAGACTGACAGATAACCCATAAACTTGATGGATAACACATAAACAGAGTAACAAAGAAGAAAAAAATACAAAGAGAGAATGGGTAAAAAATACCACAGCTAGGTTTTTTTTTCCTCAGATAAATCATATATTTTCCCTGAGACTGAAACTGGAATTCTTCACCCCAGTTCAACATGAGGCAATTGTAAGAAGACCATTGTCCCAACCCCTTAAGCTGTGATGGATGGTGTTGGTTGTTGTGTTATGGTTATTATCATCTAGGGTGGTAGGTTTAAATTATTGTATATTGATAGAAAATTAAGGTTGTTTTGTTTTTATTGTATAACAATAAGAATTTAAAATTGCTTGGTTTTCATTGTATATTAATAGAAATTCAAGATTGATTTATTAGACTATGTTGTACATAAGCTGCTTATGTAAAATGATGTAAAGTTCCGATTTATTGATTTTATAATTATTTTATGTATGTGGATTTTTAATATTAGGAAAAGGACAATTTTTAAACAAAAAGTGGGTGGTAAGTGGAAGTTATAGGTACATATGTGGTATTTTGCTAAGGGAAAACACATGGGAGGACACATGTTTGGAAAGAGTATAAATAGAACTCAATAGACAGTGAGATCTTCTTACCTAGCTATCTTTATTGGTCTGGAATATTCAGTGATCTTTAATTAGTTGAGAGAGACATTGCAGAGTACTTCTGGCATCCCAGATGGTTCCAGTTCCTCCTGCTGACTCATGCAAATGGCTTCTGCTAGATAGTGCCACTGCTGCTGATTCATGTTCAGCATCCTGACACTACTGGACTGCTGGTATCCTCACAAAAGGAGATTGGAATTGCTCCAAAACTACTTCGAAAATGATCCATATCCCATTGTCCTATATGTTGTCTCTTCCTACCTCCCACTTTGCACGGTGGGCTAGAAGGAGTATTGAAGGATTTGTGAAACTTTATTAAAAGTAGGTTTTAAAAAAACCATACTTACAAAGAAGTAGCCAGCTATTTCTGTAGTAAAGGTAATCCATGTTCTGAAATTGCAAGGAATAAGCATTCTTGTGAAGACTGGTGTCATCATAGAAGATAGACAATAATAAGGTATATATGAACTCTGGCACCATGAGCATCCCCATTGATAATGGCATGCCCCTTCACTAATCACCATTTTCTTCATATGCACCAATAATCATCAGCTCAGAAGCCTGAGTTCTCTTGCATGTAGTATAAAATTTTGGGCCCTTCCAGTAGAATTCTCCAGCAGCTATCTGATTAGTCCTCCAGTTACAGTCTGAAAACCATACTAAATACTGACCATTGTGATTGTAGAATCCATTCAGTTACAAATGAGGAAGTTCACAATTGTGCTACATGGTGATCAATTCCTGCTTCGCATCTTAGAGGAAGACAGGAATGTGCTTTGAAAATTCATTGGTATTTCATGTACTATTTTTAACTCAATATACAGTTGCCTAGGTTCAAACTTAGAATTAGAGAAGACAACTCACAGGTACAAAAAGGAATCACTATGAGGAGACTATAAATTCTTAGTATAAATATTTCTCATGCAGAGAAACTCTGTGCTAGAGGACCATGCAAAACAAGCCAATAGTTTCAGCTATGTTTCTCAGTGTCAAGGCCCCGGAGATCATAGGTACCATAAGTCTCTGTACTTATTGTTGCTTGCATATCTATTCAAACTGAAGTGTCTTCAGCAAAGCACTGGTGAGTGTGATATCCATGTATCCCCAAAACACTAGAAGTTGATCTTGTGTCACTAAGGGTCACTCTCTAAAGGGTTGTGGGTCCAAAGCTGCTCTGCCACAGGGCATGGTTGCTTGGGGAGACAGGAATCAGGAAGCTTGATGGTGCTTACCCCATGCTGCTGCCAGCAGGATGGGTGTGGGCTGTAGTGAAGCACTGGAACACTGCTCCAGGGCTTGGGGAAGCCCAGTCTAAGGCACTGGACAGCTGGAGGTATCCCCTAGCCTGCAAGGAGGCTGGAGATGTCTGGTTCTCAGGCTCTCAAACATTGAGGTACCACTGGGAGCCTAAGAAGAGATGAAAATGGAGTGGGGGGCACAGTAGGCTGGATCTAGCACAGGGATAGGGGAGGGGAAAGGCGGGAGTTCCACCCCATGGTGATAGTCCTTAGCTT